TCGATGACAACTTCACGGAGGCCGCTCGTTTTCTTGGGGCATGGATACGGAGTGATGGCAGAAACGTGACAGATAATGAGAAGCGTCCTCAAACAGCAGGTATTATCTGGAAGCGCCTCCACGGTCAGTTATCGCGATTATCTTTGGATCATAAGACGCTGGGGCAGCTATTTCGGGCCACGGTTACTGCGTGCCTCTTGTTACGATGTGAACCGCGCACTTTCACAAAGAAGGATATCGAGACTTACCGGAGATTCATGAATAAGTGTGCGCTCGGACTCCTTGGACAACGACGAATACTAATGCGCGATCAGCAAGTCGCCATGACCGACCTGAGGAAAACGCTAGGCCTGGACTCGATATCTACATGCAGTACCTGGCGCCACCTCCAATTTCTTGGCCATCGACTTCGGCTGCCAGAGGATCGATTGGATAGAGAGATACTGTGGTTAGCCCCTGCAGAGTAGTTCGTAGCCGCGCGGCGTCTTGGACATGCTCGACCCAATACAATACACGAAATATGTTATGGCGTGCTGTGGATAATGTATTGAAGTGTTCTGGATGTCCTAGGGATCAATGGCGTTCATCTTGGATTAGTATCGCTCGGGACCGCCCCCATTTGGCGAAGCTAATGCGCGCCATGCCCGTCTTGAAACCTCACGAGACGAATGGCGTAAGCCACGTGCTTCTGGAGGTCCCATGATAACAATATATGACCGGATATCTTAAGCAAACCTCGAGAAGGATACGATGCAAGTGTTGGAGTCTGTCTTTGTCGTTTCTATGGTGTTTTTTGGCCTTGGAAGGGCTTCAAAAAACACGCGATGTATTGTGAACGGCCGACTTCAGAGAAGCGCCTCGCCTCATGAAGCAGACTGGCAAACGCAAGGCAACCCAGCAGGACCTTCGCAGACGACATCGGCTCCCAGTACCTGAGCTGGGACCAGAAGGGTCTATTGTACCGCAAGCGCTGCTACCTGCACCGCGTGCACGACGGCTTCGAGGCAAACAACTGCGTCCGCTTTGTCTTCCTCCTCCAGCTGATCCAGCGGCGGACACCGCGGCCGCGGGCGCAGGCGCGGGCTCACATCATATTTCGAGCTTTGCGCCGATGCCTGCCTCTTCCCCAGGACCCTCTGGTGGACCACCTGAGGTGACTGCTCCACCCACGCCTCGCCCTGCCCCTCGCAGACGTCGAGACTATATCACGTCGAGGGCAAAGAGCTCGACGAGCATCGAGCTGCCGCGGGGCGGTTGGCCCTCGGCAGCGGGACGAGAGCTTCTCGAGCAGCTGATCGAGAAAAACCCAGCGGATGAGGTACGAATGGAGCAGAGGTGTAGATGTAAGACATGCAACCAATTCTGTTTTGGAGGCTTCTGGTTGGAGCTAGGATGTGGCGCGTGTTCGGGATGTAAGACTTCTCGGAGTGCGTGGCCGTATAGTATAGCGGCATCGGGATTACCATAATGGTTCCAGAAACTTGTTACCCGATCCCGAATGTCTGGACTTCCCGCGCCCGATCAGCCCCCAACGGTCCCGGCCCACATGCGCCCGTGTTGCCGCCAGACGTTCCCGAACGATCCGGAAGGAAAATTAAAGCAGTATGTCCATCGGACAACGTGCCCTCAAATGCCATATGGCATTTGGTGAACACGTACACGTACGGTCACACGCACAAGCCTTCGTGAACATCCATGTGCCCATTGTGGAACGTATTATGCCAATGCCCATGGTAAATCAAAGCACGAGCGTGGATGTAAGACCAGAAGGGAGTTTTTCAAACTACCTATCAACACTAAAAGCTGGCACCGCACGCTATATGAAGCACACGGGCTTCCTCCGAAATACCTACCTTTCGTTTATCATGAACCTCTACCTGTCACATCTGCATAGGTGGGGATGGGTGTACTGCGTAGGTATTACATGCACTTACTTGTCTGATGGACGGTGGGGGTGCTTACGTATCTCTCCGTATCTTTGGGTTCGAAGCGTATTGACTTTGTTTTCTCTTGGAGGGAGACCTTCCCTATTGCACGATGGCCACCGACACAGCGGCGAAGGAGTTGCTGGATAAATGTGTGGCGGATGCGAAGGCTCGAGCAGACAACATCGTGGTGGAGGAGGTGGTTCCGACGTAGTCATGGTAGAGGAGGAGGAGAAGAACACGAGGGAGGTGCAGGCACGTACAGGCGGTGCTCAGGCGCTTGGCGACGACGAGCTGCTCACACTCTTCCTCAGGGACTTCTTGGCCTTCAAAGCTGCTGTGAGGCCATCTCTTGCAGCCAAGAATGCCGGCATCTGGTTCAAGTCGAACTCAGCCGCCGCGGGGTTTGGAGCGATGGTCCAGACCTGTATGGACCAGAAGCCAGTCATTACACAGGAGATGCACGATACACGCAACTTTCCCAAACATCCTCTGGACATGGCGAAGGACACCTTTCCGTTCATCAGCTTCCTCACGTACATGTTGCTGATCCTGGAGAGCTTCGTGGCCACGAACCCAGGCGACAATATTGGACAAGAAACACTGAGCGCGGTCAAAGACACGAAGACCACCGAGGTTCGGAACTTGAAGGTGTGGGTGGGGGAGTTCTCGACCAGATATAACAAGCCGAAGGAGGATTTCACATGGAAATGGCCGTTGACTTTCTCGGACTTCACGCCAGAAGCCTTTCGGATGGCTTTCGTGCACCTGTTGTTTTGGAACGATCCTGCCAAAGCGGTCGTGATCGAGCAGGCGCGCTCCTTTCAGACTCCAGGCGAGCAGAAGCTTTGGACGGCGCTGAAGTCGAAGCCCAGGCCGAAGGGTGGAGGCAAGAAGAAGAAGAAGAAGACCATGTGGGGTCGTCGGTGCTCGGCCCGCGGACGGAGGCCCACGTTTGGCCAGACGGTGGGCCGAAACGACGGTCACTCCAGGGAAGCGAGGCCAGTGGCCTCCGGGGGTGTGCGGGTCCTTCAGTTACTGCTGCTGCGTTGGGGAGTGCAGTATGGAGGCGAACTTTCTGGACAGCGATCTTGGTACTGGAACTTCTGTGTGGCCTTTGTGGCGACAACCTGGTCCATCGGCGGAACACCACCTTAATGCTTTGGGTCCTGCTCTGCAGGCCCTCTGCACCTTTGGATCCAGGCACTCTCTCCAGCAGCTGCTGCTGCAAACCCTGCCCTGGTACGTGGCCCACCCAGCTGGTCATCAGCTATTTGTTGGGTATTTTACTTTCAAGATGACACCTCGGTTTCAATTCTGGCGGGGCCTGTGTCTGGCGGGGGCTTCGGTGCCCGTCCAGGGGTGGACTCCGCTGGACATGTACATCATTTACTTTGAGGACTTTGAGTGCAGAACCATCTTCAATACAGGAGGAGGAGGAGGAGGAGGAGGAGGAGGAGGAGGAGGAGGAGGAGGAGGAGGGGTCGCCTAAGCCCTTCGGAGAAACCCTCCCCTCCCCCTCCCCTCCCCTGGGTTTTCGGGCGGGGAACACTTGTTGCAGCCAAACGGGCACAAGACGCGCTCGAGGCGCCCAGGTCGACCACCCCCAGGGGAGAACCTCGGTCATTGACCTGACCTATGGAACGATCAACAATGAACAAAGCACCTTTTTCCCAGGGAATAACGCATAAGGAACGATCAGTAATACACGACACATAAGGAACGATCCATAACGCATGCAAGCCTAAGGAACGACCGAGCCCACTCTGAAAAGTAAGTGTTCCTTATTCAAGCCGCTAACTGTAGGCCGAAGGCTGCAGGGCAGAAAGGCGCGCCACGGAAAGCGGGACGCCAAGGCCCAAGCCGGAAGCCAACGCAAACCAGCGGGTGCTGCAGGAGCGAGCGCGAACTGCCAGAGTTCAACTCAGGATAAGGCTAGCGTTAGGTCGAGCGTGTCCTCCTACAGGCGGAATTTGGAGGACAAATAACATATAGCCGACAGGTGCTCAAAAATACTCACACATAGTCGAAAGATCGTCCCCAGACCACTTTTTGACTTTTTTGAAATTTCCTCCTGTAGAGGGACATGCCCGAATTAACGCTAGCGGCGACTGGAGCGAGCCGCTGGAGATGGGCGGTGGCCCCCGAAAGGCGAGAGAGGAGGGGCAGGGGCGGGAGGGGCGGGGAGGCGCCGGGGCCAAGGGCGCGCAAGACCACGCCCGAGTCGCCCAGGCCGGTCCCCAGCAGAGGTGGCCCGGGCGGCTGGGATCACTCACTGGTTGCGCCTGCGCGAGCCTCTCATCGCAGGCTGCGCGGAGGGCGACACAGTCGAGTCGAATAGTGTAGAGTTGAGAACGATAGAGTAATGTAGAGTAGAGCCGTGTAGACGAATCGATGATTTGGCCTGTTCGGGTCTGCCTGGGGGACCTCTTGGAGGCCGCTGGGGCCGTCTTGGAAATCTCTTGGGGGCCCCTCGGGCCATCTCAGGCCGTCTTGGGCGCATCGTGAGCCGACTTCGAGCCATCATGCGGCCATCCTGCGCACGCTATCTCGGAGCCGTCTTGGCCGTTTATGAACCCATCCTGGCCATCGTGGGGGCATCTTCAGGCCATGTAGGATGAAAACAGACGGCAGCTTCCTTTTGCGCAGGGCTGGCTCGACGGCGGAAGGCCACTGGGAGAATCTACAAGAACCAGAAGAAGCCCAGAAGTCTCGCGCGCCGTGCACCCCTCTGACAAGCCGCTGGGGGCAGCTGGCCGGGACGAGGGGGGGTAGAGGAGATGGGGGAGGAGGAGGAGGAGGAGGAGGAGGAGGAGGAGGAGGAGGAGGAGGAGGAGAAGGAGGAGGAGGAGGAGGAGGAGCTCCATTGCATCAGCTGTGCTGTGAGCAGGTGGCTGGTCTCATTGTGTCGGAGCTTCTCCATTGTCCCAGCGCCGCGCCATGCGCCGCGCCGAGAGCAGCCTAGGGGTGGCGAGCAGTGCGAGGCAGATCAAGCAGCCGATCACAGCAATGACGGTGGCGGATACCATGGCCTCGGACGCGATATTCTCAGTGTAGGTCGCCGCCACCGCCGTCTCAATGCTGGTGATCATAGCGGTCGTCGTCTCCATGTTCGTGTGAGGCGTGGTCGATGAAGCCCTGGTGGAAGTACTTGTAGATGTGAAAGTGGTCGTGTGTGACGTATTGCCCGTGGTCGCGGTGAAAGCAGCTGTGGAAGTGGTCGTATGCGGCGTCGCGGAACAAATCAGCAGATGTGAAACTGGTCGTGTGCGGCAGGCCGACGACGTACGCGGAGCCCGAGGCAGTGCCCGCGTCGTCGTCGTCTTCGTCGTAGTTTGCCCCCACCAGCACGCGGGCCCCGTCGGAGCTCACGGCTAACGACTGGCCGAATTGGTCCCCGATGGTCCCGTTGATCGCCTGGAGCTTCGCCAGCTGCGCGCCAGTGGCCCCGTCGAAGACGTACGCGGAGCCATAGCGGGAGCCCGCGGCGTCGTCGGCCAAGTCGTCGTAGTGGGCTCTCACCATCACCAAAGACCAGTCGGAGCTCATGGCCGCCGACCAGCCGAAGCGGTCATAGCCAGCCCCGGCAGCCGCCCGCAGCTTCAGCAGTTGCGCGCCAATGGCCCCGTCGAAGACGTACGCAAAGCCAGTCTCGGGACCCGGCCCGTCGTCGCCGAAGGCTCCCCACACCACGCCGGCCCCGCGTCGGAGCTGACGGCCACCGCCCGGCCGAATTCGTCATCGGGGATCTTCTGACCCAGGTCAATCCAGACCCGGGTCAGTCAGGCCTTGCAGAATCCTGCACGATCCTGCACCCAAGCCCGGGCCAATGCGACGGATCCTGCAAGATCCTGCACCCAAGCCCGAGTCCATGCGACCCTGGCCCTGCGGGATCCTGCAAGACCACGCGCTCTTGCTGACCCCCGTTTGCATTGGCCCCCGTCTCAAGGCTCCCGACGTCATCGTTGGTCCCGTCGGCTGGACGTAGCTTCAGCAGCAGCAGCGAACCGGTGGCCCCATCGAAGACGTACACGGAGCCCGTGTCGTCGATGTTGTGGGCTCCCACCACCACGCGGGCCCCGTCGGAGCTCACGGCCGCCGGCAGTTCGAAACGGTCGTCGGCGGCCCCGTCGGCCGCCCGCAGCTTCAGCAGCTGTGCGCCAGTGGCCCCGTCGAAGACGTACGCGGAGCTGGAAGCTTTGCCCGCATCGTCGTCGTACCGTAGTAAGCTCCCACCACCACGCCGGCCCCGTTGGAGCTCACGGCCACCAACCAGCCGACGCTGTCCAAAGCGACCCCGTCGGCCGCCCGCAACTTCAGCAACTGCGCGCCAATATCCCCGTCGAAGACGTACGCGGAGCCGGTCCAGGTGCCCGGGCCGTCGTCGCCCCAGGCTCCCGCCACCACCAAAGCCCCGTCGGCGCTCACGGCCATCGACCGGCCGAAACCGTCGTGATTGGCCCCGTCGGTCGCCTGCAGCTTCAGCAGCTGCGCGCCAGTGGCCCCGTCGAAGACGTACGCGGAGCTGGTCCATTTTTCGTCCCAGACTCCCGCCAACACCAAGGAGCCGTCAGAGCTCACGGCCATCAATATTCCGAAGCGTTCGTAGGCGAAGCTGTCGGCCGCGTGCAGCTTTAACAACTGCGCCTCCTAGACTCCGCCACCGCCATAAGCGCAGCACATCTCCGACGCTATGAAATCCGAATCGCTGGGGGAGTCGTCTGAGCACTAGTCTGGGTATGCAATATACTTATCGCAACCGTCGCCAAAACTATCCATGGATCCGTCTTCAACATTTGCGCACGCATACGGTCCGTCAGCCCGCTGCCCGCAGAGCGCCGCAACGAAAACATCGCATGTGTACCACGCCTTCAGCGACAGTGCTGCCCACAGACGCGTATCATACTCCACCGCGAGTCGAGGCGCCATCTTTGAAGAAGCACACTACGTGTGAATGGCCCTAATCCTGCGAGCCGGTACAACCTTGACCCAGTTTTCACCATGGCTTGAGCCTAAATGGCTGGGGAAGAGGAGATGGAGAAGGAAGAGTAGGTGGAGGGGGACTGGGAGGGGGATGCTAACGATGTTGCTGATGCTGCTGCTGATGATGACGATGCTGTTGATGATGATGGTGATGATAATGGTGATGATGATGATGATGATGTGGATGAGGATGAGGAGGATGACGATGCTGCTGCTGGTGATGATGATGACGATAACGATGATTGCTATGATGCTGATGCTAATGCTGATGACGATGAGGATGCTGATGATAACGATTATGCTGCTGATGATGCTGCTGCTGCTGATGATGATAACAATAACGCCGCTGCTGCTGATGATGAGTAGGATCATGATTCTGGTGATGATGGTGCTGCTGCTGATGATGATGCTGAAGATGAGTATGATGATGCTGCTGCTGATGCTGATGAGGAGGAGGAAGAGAGGGAAGAGGAGGAGACGGAGAGGAGGAGAACTCAGACGGCTCTGTCTCGTAGGGCTCATGGGGCTCATAAGGCTCAGAGGGCTCGTGGGGCTCATAGGGTTCGTAGTGCTCAAATGGATTATAGGGCTCATAGGGCTCCTAGGGATCCTGGGGCTCTTAAGGCCACTGGAGCTCTTAGGGCTCCTAGGATTTCTAGCGCTCGTATGGGCTCAGGGGACCCAAAACGCTCAGAGGGCTTATATGGCTCATCGGGCTCCTAGGGCTCATAGGGTTCAGATGGCTCATAGTGCTCATAGGGCTCGTCGGGCCCAAAAAGATCGTAGGACTCAATGGGCTTATATGGCTCACATGGTTCAGAGGGCCTTGACAAGCTCACCTATGCACGCGTGCACTTACCCAAACATGACACGAACATGAGCTGACTAAGAAACAATGGCGCGGACCGAACTTAAACGTATTACCGCATTACAGATCAGGAAACGAACAGACGAATTCAATGCGAAGCCATGCAAATAAACACGAGTAGTGCAACGGATGCAGCGCGCTGTAATGGGAGCGTGACTCATCGCATTACGTATCGTGGAACATTGGTGCGGTGGCCACGCAACGCAACGCAATGCAAACGGTTGACAACTGCAAGGGACGAACGCCAACGCACATGACATGCATCGGAACGCGTTGGACATCAAACATATGGAGCGGCCATTTGGAGGTCGACTCGTGCGATCGTTGAGCCGCCTTGTGCCACTCTTGGGGCTTCTCTAGATGCTCGTTGTTAGGGTGTTGACTGGCGTCGGCCACATGGACTTTCCTTGCTGTCCTCTCGTTGCTGGGTCGGGGCTGTCCTGGGGCGTCTGGGGCTGCGCGTCGGACCCCTGGACGCCTGCTCCGGGGGAGGCCTGGGGACCTCGGGGGGGCGCCTGGATCGAGAAATACAGGACATCGAACATTTTGGCAATTTGTGCTCACCGCGCGACGGATACGTGGCTGGCTCTGTAGTCGTGAGGGCGGCACGGTGGCCAAGATACATCTGTATTGGAAAGCCGATTTGGCTTCCGCGAGCTTCAGACGAGCTTCCGCTGGCTTTCGCCGGCCAGATCGCCTTCAATGATCCTCCGCCAGCTTCCACGGGCCTTCGGCTGGCCTCCGCCGAGGGCGAAAGACAATTTGCTTCTTGCGTCGGCTGCATGAGTTGCTGCTGGACCTGCAGCTGATGGAAATGGCCAAGCCTAGCTCCGATAAGCCCTGCTGCCTCTAGCTGCCTTCTGCTCCTTCTGGCCTATCACTGCATCCTACGACGTGCTATCGCACGCTGCCCCAATCTCTTCGAGGGTAGTAATTAACGTAGCTTGCCATACAATGCTCATTATTGCGAAACACATGTGCGCCGCCATGCTGCCAACCAGAAGACGCGAGCTGCTTATATCTAGCACGCGGACTGCTGCGCGAATAGCGCTGCGCGCATTGATAACTGCGCATGTGAGCACAGTCAAGACTTCCACTGCAAACAGTATCAACACAGGCACAATCACGTACGCAGTAGGAAGTCCTTGCAAATAGGACGTGGCTACGCAAGCATGCATCAACGTTCCTGCCATCAACTTTGACATACTGTTATGTCGCGCTGTGTCAATGGCCAGTGCGAGGTCTTTTCTGCCAGCCTGCTATCGAAGATCCTCGCTAGACCGCTCCTCTATGACTCCGGTGATCATCTCTGATGCAACGCAGCCCCCGAACCAAATGGCGGCGACTGCGAAACACCCTGCGCAACATGTCCGACCGTGCTGGGGACATCGGAATGAAGATGACAGCGCGCGCAGGCAACACCAAATGTTGACTGCTTCCAGGCCGACGGTCGTCTGCGCCAAGCGAGCCCTGAGCAATGGTGAATCCCGGACGATCTCCCAGCCTCGGAGAAATGCCGTGGAGATCCAACACTCTAATGATAGGCGGTCAGTTCCAGTGAAGATGATGATTGGCAATCACTCTTCAACGCAACACAACGAGAAAACGTGCAACCATAACAACTTTCAAGAACCGCGTACGGGAGACACTGCAGGAACATTGCTTCGGCAACGAAATTATACGCCACCCAGGCTGCCAATATCTGCAAATCCCCAAACCCTTTCAAGCGCTGAACCGTGACAAATACAGTGAGCGGCTTAGGAACACTTACTTATCAAAAGGGGCTCGGTCGTTCCTTAGGTTTTACATGTGTTATTTACAGTTCCTTATGCGTTATCTATTATTTATCGTTCCTTATGCGTTATTCCTTGGGGTAAAGAAGGGGCTTCGTTCCTTATTCATCGTTCCTTAGGTCAACGCCTCGACTGTATTGCACATTGAGAGCGGAATGAACTTCCATGCGCCGGTGATCATCGGCGTACCAAGATCAAACTGATATGGTCTTAATACCAGCGGGCGCAGCTTTAACGAACTAACGAACATATATATATATATATATATATATATACACAGTGAAAGTGCAGTGAAGATCGAGGCCGCTACAAGTGGTGATGCGTACTGGAAAACATGTACCTGGCGAAACCGAGTACAACGTACATCCTACACGCCGCCATGCTTTGCGAGATGTGTAATTACGTCTTCGCGACGGAGGAAGCGTTTGAGTATCACGGTTGGTGGTCCAATTGAACTCAGTGCCCAGCTTGCCGACCAGAGGAGCGCACGAATTCAGCCGTCCGTGCTCAGATACGCGCTTGTGTCGACCAGATAGCTCACGGAGACCAACGTAGCGATTGCGCCGAGAACCTCGTTCGCCTCGCGACTCGTAATAGTTTGGGTGCCACTTGGCCAACAACTGGCATGACAATGTGAACCATACCTGCCGAGTTGTAGAAATCAGGTAACGCCTGCAGTAAAACGAAATCGTATGTGCGCAATTTACCTTTCACTTCAGACCTACTCCCGCCCGCCATTGCACCGCACGAATCACCATCGACCGATTATGCGGCAAGATTGATTCACGCCTGAATAACAACGCAAAGCACTGCGCAAATGCCCGTGAGCCTTGTCAACGTGCGCACGGGGAGAGCTGCCAGAGCAGCCTTTCTGATCCCCATTGTATTGCGGGAAGCTCACTCGCATCTTCGCCCCGCTGCCCCGCTTTACATACACCACGTCCGCTGTACTCGCAGCTGGCCGATTGGATTGGCTGACGCGGGATGCTCGCCCATGGCCATGGTGTTCTCGACGTCTGCTTCGGGTGCGGCGGCAGGAGGGTTCCGAAGGGGTGGTCATGGGCATACCGGATATCCTCCCTGGGGCCTCGATGCCACGAATCTGGCCTGTCTCGCCGCCGTGGCGCAATAGATATCCAATGCGCTCAATCTGTTCGAAGTATCGCAAGCCTGCCACTGGCGGGGCTTGTCGCAGACAGTTGGGCTGCACCCGAAGGGCTCAAGCCAGAAACATATCTCATGCGCGGAGCTAAGGCCCTTGGGCATCGAGCCACCAAAACGAGTGGCACCAGGCTTGAGGATGCACATGGAGAGCGATGCTGGCTTGACGGCCTTCGGCCCATCCTGCCACCGTGCTTGGGCTCTGGGTCAGAAATCTTTTGGATGCATGATGGGGTCTCTTGGGAAGCCTTTGAAGAGCCTCCTGGAGGTAGTTTGAAGCACCTCGGGGGTCGTTATGGGGCCTCTTTTGGTATCATTTTCCTGGGGGCCTGCTGGCGGTCTCGGGGTCCCCCTTGGGGCGTAGAGTTCGAAATCTCAGCTAGAGTTCCCCCTCTTCAGCATCTCCTGGTGCTCTATTGGGGCCCCCTTGGCCAATTTTGGGCGCCGTCTTGAAGCCCTCTCGGACCGTCTTGGAACCCACTTGGGAGCGTCTTGGGCCGTCTTGGGCTGATATTAGGGCCTCTTGGGCCGTCGTGGAAGCTGTGAAGGCCCAAGAGGCAAATCTGATAAAACAAATGCGTTTCCTATAGGATTGGGGCGATGTGTTCTTCCTGGGGCCCTCTTGGGGTGCTCTTGCGGCGTCTTTGGGGGCCTCTTGTGCCGTCTTGGGCACTTCTTTCGGGCTTGGGAGCCTCCTGGCGTCGCTGCAAACACGCCTGCAGCCGCCTTCGCCCACAGCAAGGCTGAACTTCCATGCGCGCTTAGCGCGCTTAGGTTCTAGC